AATATATCCACGCTGCTGGGTAACCTCTACTCCGATCCGCAATATAAAGACCGTAAAGACTCAGGGTACAACCTGTTTTACATGGGCATTAATATTGGCGCCTTCCTCGGGCCGATACTTGCTGCCTTTATGCGTAATAAATATAGCTGGAGCGCTGCTTTTGCAACGGCTGGTATTGGTATGTTTATCGGGCTGATCGTTTTTACCATTGGTTTAAAACATATCCGGCATGCCGATGTTATGAAGCCGGTGGAGCCGGGTGATGCCAGTATGGGCAAAGTATTCGGAGGCGTTTTCCTGCCTGCACTCGTTGCCGGTGTGATCGGCTGGATGTTGCCGGGTAACTACCTCGGCAGTGATAGTACGGATGGTTTTATCGCTGCCGCGATCCCGGTCGTTATTTTTTATATATCGCTGTATGTCAAAGCCAATGCAACCGACAAGCGGCCGATAGCCGCCCTGTTAGCCATATTCGCGCTTAGCCTGGTCTTCTGGGCCGTGTTCAAGCAGAATGGCACTGCATTGACCCGCTGGGCTAAATATTATACCGACCGTGAAGTGGCTGCATCCATTGAAACGCCGGCAAGAACCTTGCACCAGGTGGAGACAATGCCAACCGCTATTGACAGCGTGATCCAGTATGATGCCCAATTCCAGGCGATCAAGGCCGACGGCAAAGTGGTAAAGGCACCGGGCCGTGATGTCTATTTCCGGAATGTGCCGGAAGAAAAGCTGCCGCAGGACGGTAAGCCGGTATACCTGACCAGTACAGAACTGTTCCAGTCCATCAACCCGGCATGGGTGGTGCTGCTGACACCGGTAGTGGTGGCCTTTTTTACCATGATGCGGCGGCGGAAGAAAGAGCCAAGCACGGCAACCAAGATCGCTTTTGGTCTGCTGGTCTCTGCGCTCTCTACGCTGGTGATGGTAGGCGCCGTTTATGCAGGCGGCAATGGCGCGGAGAAAGTATCACCTATGTGGCTGATCGGCTGTTATGGCGTGATCACCATAGGGGAATTGCTATTAAGTCCGATGGGGCTTTCCCTGGTATCCAAGCTGAGCCCGCCAAGGCTGACGGCTCTGATGATGGGTGGATTTTTCCTTTCTACCTCGATCGGCAATAAAATGAGTGGGGTGCTGGCCAGTATGTGGTACAATTATGAGAATAAAGCCAACTTCTTCCTGTTCAACTGTATGCTGTTATTGGCCGCTGCATTACTGGCCTTTTTGCTGTTGCGCTGGCTGAATAAGATCATGAAAGAAAAGAACTTGCATTAAAATGACATTTTCTCCCGCAAAAGAGGGTATTCTCGGAATCAGCACTATTGCCCGCAAGGAAATTTTTCTATCTTGAGCGCTCATTACTCTTTTATTTTAATTCAAAATAATAAATGTCATTTCCAAACAAGCAGCACGTAGATGAGCCACAGGAACTGGGCACTACGCTTGATCAAGCGATTGATGTAACGATTGACCAACCCCGGA